TTGCATAATCTTAATATTTATAGCAGAAAGTTGCTCTGAAAAAGAACTGTACGTGATCATTTAGCAATTACGAATAAACTTTAATAATTCTTTTTAAGTCGAAAGATATTGCATAGTTAGTTTAAAAAGTAGCCCTTCTCCATCAAAATACTAAGAATGTAGCATGAAAGCATCAAGAAGTAATGAATAAATAAACTTAACATATATTTTAAGTACCTTGTTATAGATAAAAACAATATACTTTAAAGAACTTTTTAAACTTTTTCTGTAAAACTTATGATGTACGAGTAAAATAAAGTTTTTTTTTTATTTTTATTTTTGCACTATATGTATTATTATTAAATTGTGGACTTCACACCGTGTGTTTTACTGTTTTGGATAATCAAAAACGCAAAAAGAATGCAACTAGTAAGACTACATACCAAGGTCAGCGGTGAGTTTGGTTCACCTAACTATGGTTTGATCTTTATTTATTTATTTAATAAGGTTCACCTACAACTTTTACATTTTACATGCTACTTAGTCAATAACACAAAAAATATTTTTTCCTAATGTGAAAGTCTTTTACAGGCGAAAACCACATGCACTATTATAATATTTAATAATTATTAACAATGACAATAACAATATCCGAATAATAAATAGATTAAGATGTCTAAGATTTTTCTTAATAACTTATATTTGCTGTTGATTGATCCAAAATTGATGTCACTGTGAGCATTCAGAATCCTACATAATCTGGGTACAGGCGAGTTGACTCCTAACACTGTTTTTCTTAACGGAGGACATAAAGGTGTTATCTGTTTCCGAGGTATCTTATTCATACCAGATATTGCTTCTGTAGGCTTTTGATTTAACATCTAATTTAAATCAGCAGTTAAAGAAAAAAAAATGTTTTGAGTACCATCATATTGGTCCCTATTAATTTTATAAAACTGAAGCCAGTTTTTGTGGGACAAAATCTTTTAAAGAATTAAAATATTCAATATATTGCAGCTGCTTTTTTTTGTAGAAATGTCAATATAAATTACATAATAGAGCAATAGACTAGTGACCAGTGTTGAATTATTATTCCCTCAAAAAGGGATGGGTTTTCATTAATAGGCATAGATAGGCCACAAAATAGGTGTATTATACGTGGAGGTCCCTCAATCAGTCCCACGGCTAGTTTCAATCCTGTATTAGCTACATATTCCAATCAACGACTTGCATTGACGAATAGTGATTATGAATGAGCCTATAGAATATATCAAGCTATATATCAATATGTGTACTTAATAATGTGCTTTTATCCATAATAGTCCCATAGAAAGTAATCCTAGGCCATTCGCAGAGGTGGATTAATACTCGTATATTTATTTATTTATTCATTGGAAAGCCAACAGCATAATGTATTATGACATATTACATACTTCTTGAAATCTCAAATGAAACAACATAGTTCAGTACACAATTATGTAGAATTGTAGTATTTTTTTAAATTTTATTAAGAGGGAAAATATAAAACTTATTCTTAGTAAGTACTTATTTATTAGTGTGAGCATTGCATCTGAGTATCTTTCGCTAAATTAGCAAAATATTATATTTTTTGCCTTGCTACGATCGACTGGACTAACAGTCGTAATAGATCGGTTGGCCATCCCTGCTCTATGCCATGTGCTATACCATAATGTTGCAAAATATATATGTTAAATATATGGTTTGTTTTAATAGAACTTGATGAAAAATTATTCATATTTTGATTTAAATTATCACAAAAACACTATCTAAATAAAATTAGTGACAAATCGAAACATTCAATCATTTAAATGATTTTTTATCTGTACTACTATTAAACAAAAACAGACCGTTTTAAGGTCAGTTTAATTACTTATTTATTTACATTTTCATGAAGTTCTTTTCAAAGAGATTATAGATATCACAGTTGTACCATTTTCGTTTTAACTAATATAAATTTAGAGCGTGCAGTTGTAGATATGCTATCATAGCTGCATGATCCCGGTATAGAATAGGCCACCCTTTCTTTTCCAGTGGGTGTCGTAAGAAACGACTGAGGAAACTTTATAGTTGAGGGATGAGCAATAGCGTTGTGTAACATCATCAAATTCTAACTGCATTTGTCAATCTACCTGCCAAGAGTGGCAACGACTGGCAAACTCCCCTAAGAAGGAAACCTATATGTTCAGCAGGGAACAGTTATATATATATATATATAATAATATCTTAAATATAGAAATATATTTGGTTGCGAAACAAGCAGTTTTTTACACTTTAAAGAAAAACTGCAGCTTCAATCGTCATAAAATAAGTACGAGACAAAAAACTGAAGTAAAAAAATCGATTGCAAAAAGAATAATCTAAATCGGTTCTAAATTGGCGACCTAATCTCGTAAATAAACTAGACGAATTGAGAACGTCCTTCTTTCAAAAATGTTTCTGAAAGAAGGACTATCACTAATGGAAATGTTGTGCGAGTTTAATAACATACTTTCATCAACAAACTTATAGTGACTGTTGCTGGCAGTATATTAAAATTATATTAAAAACAAAAACTGTTCGAAACAAAGAATAGGAAAAAGTTTGCAAAACAAAAGTTACCAACTTATTTCTGTTTCAGTGACATTTTCAAATAGCAATGCCGGGCCACATTCCGCGACGAACTTGTTAGTGAACAAATACTGCAAAAACAGTAGCTAGCGTAGAGGTAATAAGAGATCTTTTGTTTAACACGAATTTTGTTAGCTTGTGAGATTTATTCAGCACTTTACAATTTCAACATAAAAAGAAGAGAGTATAAAAATCGTAACGGTAGCTATACGGTTTCTTTACATGATACATTGTTGGCGCAGTATGCACGTATACAATACTTTCCATTAAGCATTGTATTTCCTGATACTTTTCATATTGTGAAAGTAGTATTAGGATACCTACATACGAGTATATACGTACAAATGTGCGTATATAAAGAACGTGATACGTTCCATTTTTGAACAGTCATATTTGAGCCACGGAAGGGATGACGTTTCTTTCAAACTTTAAGAGTTGACTGTATCCCTCAATGAGATAAGTTCGCTATTATTACGTATTGTTATGCGAATTTCTTCTAATAGGTTTTTTTTTTTTTAAAAAAGCAACTTTTTACACTCACGTCAGTTTTAATTAAATAAGGAACTTAGGACAAATAGTTGCGTATGTCCTTAGGCAACCGATGTAGAGGTATTTATAACAGTTTCCTATGATAATTTATTTAGCATAAATCATTATTTAAATTATTTATTTTTGTAACTTTCATGTATGAATCTAAAGTATGCAAAGTAGATATAATAGGTATTCCCTATTATTAATCACAGGGCTTGTTGACGGTACAGGTATTGATCATAAAACTAACACTGTGATATTTAAGATTAACGACTTTTCTATTAGATGGAGCCACGCTTTGAATCAACTTCTAGTAGCACTATTTCCGCACCGATACGACATCGTATTCTTTAAAAAAGGAGCATATTCCTTTTCAAAAGGCCGGCCGCCTGTAATTATTCCGATGTTGCGGGTGCTCATAGGTGGCTCTAGTTACCATCAGGTGAGCCGCAAGCTCGTTTGTCCCAATGTTTCGCATGTCATTTGTTTCATCTGTATTATAAATAAACGATGGACTTATTTGTTTTAATTATTAAATAGTATAAATCATAATCGCTTTCCTTGTCTATCTATTTCTCCGCTTACTTATTCTAAATCTTAAAATAATTTTTGATACAGGTCCTAATGTTTTTTAAATATTTTTAAATAAGGTATGTACAATATGCGAAGCCGAGGTAGGTCGTTAATAATATATAAAAAATATATTTAACAATATACCTGTTACTTTAAATAGTGCTTTCCAGCGTATTCCCATTAACGAAGGTAAATGTCAACATTTCCTCATTGCGAACAGGGGCGCACTTGACGACAAACTCGTTACGATGAATAATTACAGGAATGCGGTACATTATTAACTTCTTTCCACGGGCTGCTTAACATGTGAAATGAGCGCATTTTTTTCTTTCTCTCTCTCTCAAAATAAAAACCTTTAACATGTTTTTTTTCTGAGTTGTGTGAATATTGCACTGTGTGTCGAAATTTGTAAGAGAAATTATTTTTTTATTTAATCTTTATTGCACCATCTAATGAATATTACAAATATATATATTTATACCACTGAGGTGGCAAACAAGCATACGGTCTACCTGATGGTAAGTGGTTACCGTAGCCTATGAAACCTCTTTACACCTCTTTTGAAGAACCCCATGCTGTAGGCTCTTAGGAAAACCTCGGCAAGGAGCTCATTCCACAACCTGAGTGTTTGTGGGAGGAAACATCTCTGAAACCGCGCAATACGCGACCATTGAGGCTATAGGATATGAGGATGAACTATCTGTCGATGGCGAGCCGTAATCATATATACAATTATTTCAATTATTATATTTATGTCCAGTTGCTTACCTTCAGGATTTATAATAAATGTGTATATCAGTCTAAGATATGGATTCATGTGCCAAGTTTTATTAAAATCTGTTCAATTTAAATGAAACGAAAAGGATACTTTTTTATCGTTTTTTACGTAAGCAATGCCATAAAATACAGTTTATAGATGTAAATTATTTTAATGTTCGATTTTTTCTTGTTTGATGTTTAAACGGTCGTTTAATTAACTCCATGCCTCATCATTAGAGGGAGGACGAAGCAGCTTAAATCTAGCATGGCACTGGCCTATTAAATTTACTTATGTTTTTATTTATTTTTTACTGTAGTCAATTTAGCTAAGCTCGAAACCTTTACCAAGCCATTGCCAAAATTTCTTTTTCACAAATGTCTCTACTCAAAGTTATTTGAGTTGTGACTTTTGTAAATAAAACAAGTTTTTGATTCACATTTACATTGTATACGCAATAAATTAATTATAAATTCTGGTTGACGTTTCTATGTTTACTATTTGATAATAAAACAAAAAGAAAATTACTTACCTGAAGCCATTTGATCTTCGTTATGTTCTCTTCTGTCACCGTCAGCGCCCGTCGCTCCCCGAGCTTGTAGAATTCATCGTAGTACATGTATTCCGTAAAAGTTAAACCACTTGTGGTGTACTGCTGTGTGAAATACACTGATATAGTTCCGTTCATAATATCGTGTTCTATTATCCATCGGCATTTTATCGGTACAGGAAACGCACTGGGGAAATTAGGGGTCTGGATGACCCCAACGGGGCCTTTTAAGTGCCCTCCACAGGTTTGGGGTCCTTGGTGTTCTTCTTGGGAGTAGGCGCGGTCCGCTGCGATGGTGGTGATAAGTGTGATGTGGAGGAGGCGCTGCATCGTTAACCTGAAGCAAAAAGAATCAATTGTTGTTTATTTTGTTTATGCTTAACATCAATGTAGTCTTTATTGTTAAATACAATAAAATACGTATTCCTTGAACACAGTCTACCCATAGATCTATCTATTGTCTGTGTCATTCTATATTATCCTGACTACTGTATTCCTTGATCTCTTTGGTGTTGCTAGTCTGAAACCTATATTTTTTTCTTTACGTCGTTGAACCAATTCATTTATAAGAAAATTATTATACAGCATTTTATTATCTGTTAGACTTAAATAATTATCCTTTATATTTTAAACATATTTAATGGCAGAATATGCTATGATTTTTACATTATGTTAACATAAAATATGCATATTTCGATAAAATTTGATGTAATGATAACTTGGTACCTAGCTGGCTAAACATTTTGCATAACTTTTTAATCCTCAAAACTTTATTGTTTATTGTTAAACGTTATAAAAAGATATACATCCACCTTTTTTGAAGTCGGTTACAAAATGTAATACCCATGTATTGTGACACTCGTATCATGACCATTACAATGTAGTGATGTTAGTGTTAATTCTAGAGGCTTATCAGTTTATCAAGTGAATCGTCAGTTTGTTTGCGTAAAAAAATAACAAAAATAAAAAATAAAGGAAAATGCATCATCATCAATAAGCATCATAGGAAACCATTATAGACAATAGCGAATTTATGTGCAGAAAAAAAAACCAATCAGGGAAATAATAAGACCACTATTACAGGGGTTCGCCCAAAGTCTTTGAAATGGTAGCGTAATATTTCATATAAAGGTCATTCATTGAAACAAATTTGGGGACAAAAACGTTGTCATTTAGCAAATACGCTTTTCAATTCCCAACGGGAATTTCCACTGGACTGCATAAATGTCCTAGTAGCAAAGTCAGAAATGGCAACGCGTTGAAGGTATATAAGGCGACACAGTATACTTTGTTATATCCATGGTACTGGTAATGTCTATAGACGTCAATGACCAATGGCCGTCATAAAAAATATCGTTCATACTATAAACTTGTTATACGATTTCGGCTGATTATCTTTCACAAACCCAAATTTAACATAAAAGGCAAAAACTGATTTTAACGACCGACTTCAAAAAAGGAGGAGGTCGATTCGGTTGTATTATTTTATGTTGGTTAACTCATAACTCGGTCATTTAAAAACCGATAGATTATATTTCTTTTTTTATCCAAAAAGATTTACTTTCAGATACCTATAGAAATTTTCTGAAAATCGATTTAGCAATTTAGTTTTTAAACAAAAGTTTCTTGGGTTTTGTCATGATTAAAGTCGGCGTTTGTGATGAAAAATTTAAAATTATTCTCATCTACCGTCATTTATTAGTATATCGCTAGTATATACCGACAGCGCAGTAGGCGTGGGCAATATGAATACTTTTTTTTATACAACTTAGAATGGCAAACAAGCTGACGGCCCATTGATGGAAAGTGGTAACCGTCGCCTATAGACATGAGCAGTACCATGGACATAACAGAGTATACTGTTTCGCCCATGATACCCCCCATGCGTTGCCATTCCTGAGGACTCAGGTGTTATTTCTCTGTACCCTGTAAATTCACGCCATATCCCACCCTTCAAACCGAAACACAGCCATGCAAACACAACTGCTTCACGGTAGAAACACGAATGGGACAGAGGTATCCAAGCAATCGATTTTTGTACAAAGTCTCCCTCTGATAAAATCTGATATCTATATATTGGGTTTGTCTGGACATTGATGGCGGAAAAAAATTCATCACCCACCTCAATATCGCCCATATCGTTCGGATATCTATTTTCGAATATGTTAAAAGTCTGTTATCCATATATTTTTTTGAATAACAGACTTTTAACATATTACACATTATTGGACCAGTATACATATATCGTAACTAAAACATATAGATATTGCTATATATTGCCCATCCCTATAGCGCAGGCGGAATTATTTTTCCATTATTTATTGCATTAAAAAAAGGAAATTGATATAACAAATAACTATTTTCCTTTAGAAACAAACTGATGTTCGGAAACAGTGTAAATTGTGCCTACAAATAAAATTACTATGTCCACATCTCCAATTTGTATCCGGATATTCACTAGGGAGCGAACAGATAGCAAATATTTGTATTAGAAATAATGTTACTTTGCCGTTATTGCAGGATCCATAATATTTGAACGGGCAATTTTTACGTGAATAATATTCTTATTGTACCTTAAATAAACGTACGTATTTTTATTTCTATTGTATTTTATTGTTAATATTACAATAGTTTTTAACCGCGACTTTGTCCGTGTTATCGAGATCTTGATTGACCGGCATAAAAGTGGTCTATGTCCTTCTTTATCTACTGAAGTCGTTGTGGTATCAAGATGTAATAAATAAACAAATTCAATTTCACATTTACAATATCATTATTACAGACAGACATCCATTACAGACAGACAGACATCATATTAGAGACAGAATCCCATTGCTAGCAATATACCCAACTAGGTCGACCTCCTCGCAGTTCTCTCTGGAAACTATCATGGTTAATTCCTGATGAATTCATCATGATGGGTTAACTGGCCTGTTTTCATTCTCATCTATCACCCTTCACTGGTGCTCCACCAGCGTATCCCGTTAGCGTGGGCGGGGTTTCCATACCATTTACACCCATAAAAAAAAAATATCACTATTACTATGTGGACCCAGCATAAAATAAGCTACCCCTTCCTTTACCGTGGCTGTCGTAAGAGGCAACTAAAAGAACTTGATGGTGGAGGGATGGGCAGCAGCGTGCCTCTTAAGAACATCGCCAACGCCAAGCTGCGGTTGTTAATCCACTTGTCAAATGTAGCAACTACTAAACAAACCCCCTTTTGAGGGAGGCCTATGTTCTGCAGTGTACAGTAGAGATATGATGAATATTACTAGCTTTTATCCGCGACTTCACCCGCGTAACTAGAATACTTTTACTCACTCGGATAGGTGTACATATAGATACTTAATTTATTTATATAATTTGGTGTATACGTGTACATTAAATTTCATAGTGATTGGTTAAGCTGTTAAGGCGGCATAAGGTAACAAACAAACAAACTGACTTTCACATCTATGTACAATATAATATTTAATTTATTAAAATGTGCTAATACTTATACATGTTTATTAAACAATAATATTTTTTTAGTAACGTAGATAGTTTATACGAACAAAATAAATTTAGTAAAATATATAAAGTTAGTTTCTCATTTGAATAATCGGATTTAACCCGACCTATCCAAACATTACTTGAGTTGACTCGCTAAATCGATTATTTACGCCGCGTTAAGATAATATATTCATATACCTATCTCACTGATACTGTCTTTGGGTTTGTGCAAAATCGTATAGAAAGGAAATTACAGCATAGCATGCTCGTTTATTTACGCGTAAATTGTTAGTTTATATTTCAAGTACAAAAATTGTAAATTTGAAAGATAAATTATAACTGATGCATGTATTAAATTAATAAATAAGAAATAATTGTAGGGCAATAGGTTTATATAGTAATTTAATTACGTAATTGTAACTTTACATGGTATATGATATATTCTTTAGCAATATAAAGGTTGTTGTGGATTGGTAACCGCAGTCAGACTTTAGAAATGTTTTAAGAGGGATGCTGCATTCCTCAACCTCCCTTAGTCGGCTATTACGACACCCACGGGATAGGAACGGGTGGCCTATTCTATACCAGGACCACACGCCTAGTTTTTAATATTCAAGATATATATATTACTTAGCGAGCTAAAGAGAGAACTATGATAGGAGTTTCTTTGAGTGCTAGAATCCGAAATGAGGACATTCGCAGAAGAATCAAAGTGACCGATATAACCCGAAAAATACGTAATGATGAAGTGGCAATGGCATGGTCACATAACTCGAACAACCGACAGCCGATGGAGAAGAAAGGTTCTTTAGACCTCACACATACCAAAATAGTGTATAAAAACCCCTCACTAGACAAAACGACGACTCTATACGTTTTGCAGGGAATCAATCGTTGTGGTGGTGACACCTTATGGCAATCTGTCGAGTTCACGGCTAATATAATGATAATGATGCCATAACATTATACAGCTTTGTTCCTAACTTTCAATATATGTAAACGTAGAGTGGATATATTTATGATAAATAATCACGAATAATTATCAAGGCCATGCAGGATATACTCTATTGCTAGTAATAGAAATCTAACAATCAATATTTCCAGAATTGATAACATATTATAAGAAGTTAGAAAAAATCAATTTATTATAAAATATGTTAATAAAAAAAAGAATTTATCCCCGTACCTTTGATCTAAAATGGTCACGTACAGTGCGATTTCAGAGGCTCAGGTTGTAAATGATCTTTCTGCCGAAGTCGAAAAGGGCGTAAATAATTTTCTTAAATTTCGTCCTACGGCATCCTCGTTTAGTATCAGACGAACCGTATGCTTATTTGCTACTATAGTTGTTTAAAAAAGAAACTGAGATCTGTTTTGTAGCTAGTTTAAAAGAAAGTAAAATTAAAAAGAATTTAATATTAAATTTGTGTAATCAATAATACAAAACCTATTTTAAAGAATTTTAATTTTGAAGATGCTTAACACAAATAATAACTTATGCTTTTCTATTATATTTTTACTGTAATTGTGCTTATATTTCTTATGAATTATGTACTCCTATAACAATATAAATTCGTGTATGGGGTTTATTTTTACGTAAAAGAAAAAACATTCTTATAATTTTCATGTAGCTACGAAAATGTAATTTATTTCCGCAAAAATACGAGTAAGAGAGATTCTATTCTAATACAGAGTCCATGTAAAATATGCTACTGCAAGTATATCACGTTTTTGATATATTGCAACGACTCGAAAAGAAATTTAAATAATACTAGATTCCAACTAGCCTGTTAAATTCTAGAATAACTCATGTTAACAACATGAAAATGATATTCATTTTAA